CCCGGGAAAATTCGTAGAATCGGCAAGTCAAGTGTGTTAATCTACTAAAGTTCCTGATTACCCAACTCGAACATTGCCCTTATTATCAACATATATGTCTGTCGTTATGGCTGGAAGTGCCCTGCTGCAAATACAGCGATGAAATGCAAATCTTTTAGTCGTAAACCAAAAGCGAAGAGGTGGATAGAACAGCCGTTTCGGGTTAGTAAAAGCTTTATTCGGTAGATCGTGTCTTCGGTCAGGGCCTAATGCAGAGAAAAGATGACACTCGCAAAGCGTTTATTTCCGATTACAAGTGTTGCTCGGAGGCAGGACTAGAAACCGGTACTACTTACGTTTCCAACACTTATCAACCTACGTTAGGCGATTGTTTAGGGCTCGAGCGACCTAAATAATGATGTAGGAGTTTTTTAGTGCTGCTTGAGACAAGGCCTTGGGTTGTTGCCTTAGATGAGCCCCTTTAAACTAAAAGATATCGACAAAGTGTCTGTAAACGATTTTGAGTCCAATTCTTGAAATACATTGTCTGGTAAATTATTCGGGGTGGAAACGGTCACTATTAAGCAAAAAGAGCAGACTGGTAACATAAATCAACACAAATCCTAATTAATCACCTGGGCAACACCAGTTACGGTAATTGGAACACCCTTCTGAGTGTATATCCGCGGACTTTCAATGATAAGCGTCATGATGTTAAGCGAAATCCTAAAATAAAAGTGAAAATAAGATCTGAGAAGGTGACAGGTCGCAAAAAGTTCGGTTGTTCACCAGCTTAGGTTTGACATTTCTCTAAAAACTCCAATAACATGCAACAAAGCAACGGCTTGAAAAATTATTTCACGCTAACATGACTAAGCTACTATGTGAAAATTCGCTTAGTTACTATACGTGCTCTTACTATTATTCCTCGTCGTGATTAAATGCGAAGATATTTCAAAAAACAATAATAAAAATCCATTTTAAAAATTATGCCATGATTAAAAATGGATAATTAAGCAATCTTCAAGAATATTTGGTGCGATCTTGGACATATAAAGGTTGCAGATTTTTCAAGTCCACCCTCCCGATAAAATACGCTCGGAAACCCCAGCAGAGTACTCGCAGAATAGAAAAAAGCCGCCAATATGATCGAAAGCCCCAAACTGGGGTGAAGTATTTTCAAAATAATCAAGTTATGAACTTTCTCACGAATTAATTTTGGTATAACCTTCAAAAACTCACTTGCATAAAGCTTTGTTTTATGTAACTTTCCCACTTCCCTTCTAGACATATAACATGAAAAAATCTTTGTGTCTATGCCCTGCTGAAAGCAATCAAGGAACAATAAGCATGAATAAGTCCGCTGATTCTATACTTCAGGCAAACTGAGGGGCTTCTACATTAAGTTTCTTTAACTTTTTTCCTATTTTTACAGCTCCGCAACAAGTTGCAAATGAAATTTTCAGACTCGAATACTTTAGTCTCGCGGGCGTACTTAACTTTTATGGGCAGAACTGACATATGAACCAAAAGCTTGGTATAAGTAGATCTTACTTGCCTATTTTCCCAATTTTACTTCGTTTTTGACTTTACAGTCGAATAGCCGTCGTATTTCCTTCAACCTTTGTTGGCTATCTCGCGTCGTACCATATGAGCATCACCAGAAGGTAGGGTGTGCACTTGCGTACTAAAGTCGGATGACAACTAAATGTGAACAGCAGGAGCTGTTCAAACTACATCTTATACAGTAATAATTCAAGCACAAAACATGGCGCCATATGTAAGTAGCTTTTAAAATATAACAATACAAGAATTATGTAAATGGAATACTGTTAAATGGAGGGAAAGTACTATCCTATTCACGTTCATAGATGTCTGTGGCCTAAGAGTTAAGCCAAACCTTCACATGAGACCCCGTAAAGAGGGGTAATTGGTCTTTTACTTTACTTTAGCCCAAATGATTACCAATGCTGCAAATTTTGGTAATGTAAGTCAAGTGAGTACGACCCATAGGCAGATCACTCTGTAAAAATTGTGCAATAAAACTACTTTACGCTCTTTGTTTTCGGTGGCCTGGGCCATTTTTCGAAATTTTGGCCATCGGCAGCGCCGCATGGATGGAGCAAAACTGTAAAAGAACGGCTGGAATTGCGACAAATGGCCCAGTCCAAATCTGTCCTTCGAAAATAAATAGTGCGATCTTTTCCATAGGGCGATATATGCCATAAACGTACCCACGCCATTTGAACTGCAGTACTTACAGTATTATTAATCAGATATTCCGAAAATAAAAGCTAAATTACTATTAGGACGGGGCCCTTGCCACCATTCGGTCCTTCTAATCCGGGTGCATTCTCCAGAGGGCGCACACTCGTAATATGAGCTGTGTTGATTACGAACAGGCATAAAATTCTTTTTTTAAATCATTGCAAAAATATCGTGCAATCAACGTACCTGTCCAAACGTTGAATAAACGGCAGGAGGAAAATCCGTCCACCTGTAACATAATACGGACTCCTGTGGCAGCAGCCTGTATAAAATTATTAGAAAGGCAAGTAATTCAAAACCTGAAACAACCATGGCTTCATTCGGCCCGCATGTAACAAAACCCCAGGTCATCTTTTCCGTTGGCTGCAAAACAGTTCAACTAAGAGAGGATCTCATTCAACCGCTCTCATTTCAGACCAGTAAAAGAGTTGCGTGATACGGATTTGGTTCTCCTCAATAACAAAAACGTTTAAACTGCAAGCTACCACTTCATCTGTTTTTTTATTACTTAAATAACTAATTATTTGCTTTAAACCAAGAAGTAAACTTTCCTTAGTGATTCAATATGTTGCTGCTGCTGTAACTCCTCTTGTTGTTGTTGCCGTTGTTGTTGTCGTTGTTTTGTTATCTATATCCAATAAAACGAAATAAAACACTGGAGTTCCAGGGAGTAATGATGACTGCAGAATCAGTTGGCGAGTAAGTTGGCAGAGAGATTATTGTAACGGAGATCCAGGCCGAGATATCACCGCGCAATGCGTCGCCTAATTGTTGTAACGGAGCCCAAGCCAACATATTCGCCGTCTAACTACGCCTCATGTGAGCCCCCAAACAGAGAATACAACAAGAAGTGTGCAGAAAGCAGAAATATTTGAGTGTTAGAGGTACAAAAAATTTAGGGAAACGAACGTGTGTAAGATAGGTCCACGAACTAATCAGATTTTCTTCTTAAATAGTGGCTGGTCCCATTGGTTGTTGGCTCAGTGGACGACTGTAGTTTGAATTCTGAATTATGGATCGATTGACGGCTTGTGTACGCTTATTTTGCCTTAATTGGATCGAGAAACTCGGTCTCCAGGATATTCCTCATAACCGCATTTGCAATGGTGTGCATTCAACTTGGTCGAGTCCTGCCAAATCGAATAAGCTGGCGACAAAGCTGGTGTCGACGATTCCACCTCCTGCCAAGTTGCTTAAGAAGAAGAAGAAGAAGAAGAAAGAGGAGGAGGAGGAGGAATCGGGAGAGAAAGCGCCAGCGGCTTCCGAGCCCCATCAAACACCTGGTCGGTCCACTCACAGCGGCGCGCGCAAAAGGCATGCTGCCCCAACAATGCCCTCATCCTCCTCTCCCTCGACTGCCGCCGACTCCCTAAACCTCTCCACAAGGGACCCCAGTGCTAAAAAGCACGAACGTCAACATCTAGACGACCAAGCCGGAAAAGAATGCGAACAGGTCCGTCACAAGTGAACCCACAACTCAAATCTTACTCGGAAGAAGAAGAAACGATCACTGGAACAAGAGGTTTATTTTCCTGAC